TTTGTCCAGGAGCTCCTTGTTCATCCACGCAGGCCTCCTGGCGTTTTTGCCTGACTTCCTCTTTGTTGGGATGCATCACTCCCGAGCTTGGAGGAGGTGATCCTTGAGTATTAACCAGCTTTCCTGGGGCCCTCTTCCCTCCAGGGCTTTATCCCATGGTACTCTGCCAAGCAGATCCCTGAAGAGGCCAAAGTCTACTCTCCTGAAGTCCAGAGTAGTGAGCTTGCTGTGTGCCCTTCTTGGTGCCCTAAGGATCTTGAACTCCACCATTTTGTGGTCACTGCAGCCAAGGCTGCCCTTGAGCTTCACATTCCCCACCAGTCCCTCCGTGTTGGTGAGAACAAGGTCCAGCGTAGCACCTCTCCTCGTTGGCACCTCTGTCACTTGGAGAAGGAAGCTATCATCGACACATTCCAGGAGCCTCTCGGATTGCTTATGCTAATGTTTTGTTTGCTTTTTTGACAGCTTCTAATAGCAGTTCAGTGAGACCTCCAGCAATGTATTTAGTATTCAAATTATTCTGTTCACTGTGCGTGCTGTCAACATGTAATTGTGGTGGGGGCAGGCTAATGAAAGAGTAGAGGTAAATCCAGCCCACGCTTCTCAGGGAGAAGGTACTGTAGTGCCGCCAGTCACATATCTGTCAATGACTTACATTAACATCACTGCAGTCTGTTTTTGCTAAGTTAGAAGGGGTAATGCAGAACCAAAACTGCAGGGCCATTTTAATAAGTGGTCCCCCTATTCTAGCCTTTACATATCCCAAAGAAAGTTGGTCAGGATCCAAGTTTTGTTTACTGATTGAAAAATGGGGATTTTGGCAACATTGTGATCCTTAGTACTGTCTTACCAGAAAAAGTGTCATCATCTCAGCTACAAGTACTTCTGTTGGCTATGCTGGTGTATTCCTGCTTCAGCAAGTGCAAAATAGATGCAATGCTGCCCAAAGCTGAAGTCTATAGCAGCTCCCCAGACTTCCTTGTTTAAAGCACATTAAGCAGAGTTCACCAAGAGTTCTTGTACTTGGCCCGCTGTGGTTCTTTTGCATGTACGCAGCAGAATTCCTATAACTACAGGAGTGCAGGGAAGAGGTTTGGAGGCCTTCTGTCCCTTTGGAGAGGTTTTGTGTGCACAAAAATGCCCTCAAGAAGATGGGGTAGCTAAATGCCGTGCAATTTGGGAGGTTCATCTATCTGCAGAACAACCCTCCAACGTGACAAAAGAAAGGGAAAGGTACAGTGGCTTCTGCAGTTCGCCATACATAACAGCAATTGTTATGTCAAAGCTCTCAAGTCTAGTAGCACAGAGCAAGGGCTTCATCCCACAGTCCCAGCATATGAGGAACAGGTATGTTTTCTCTCATATTCCTCAAGCAGCAGGGCAATTTAAAAAGGTCTGTTCTCTCCCTTGCTGTTTTCAGCCTCTCTGTGCTTTTGTGTGGCTACCTCAGAAGTGAACTCCAGCCATTCTGTTACACGGCTTCTTTCATCTTGCTGCTAACAGTGAAAAGTGACACTGTGCCACCCTGTGTCTGGTAGGAAAAAGTCCCCTCATCTAAAATACCTTTAGAATAGGGAAGGCTGGCAGGAATATAAAGAAAAATAGTCAAAGACTGTGACAATAAACTAATTTTAATTTAAGACAACTTAATCATAAGTCAGTTTGCTGATTTTCCTCCACCTGAGAGCACAGGTTATTGTACTCCTCTGGACTGACTGAGTACTGTGAAAGGACTTCTAGAAATTCTTCGAGTGGGCAGAGACCTGCTCTACATCCTTTCACCACTTGCTCCTGCAAAGGCAAAGAGACAAAATCACAGATCTAGTGCATTGCCAAAGCCCTTTTTTGCTGATACTGATGCATTCTGCAGCAGGGAAATATGCTAGTCGAGGCAAAGACAGAGAGGCAGAGGTTCAAAGTCTTTGCCTAAACTCATACTAGATCAATAGTCAGCTCTACAGAAAAGATATCTTGGCTACCATGGATGTGCTGTAGGTGCCTTACTCTGTTATCTGGCTTGACGGCATGCTCGGAGCAAGCCTTGTTTCACAGCTTTACACGCATGCATGGCAAAACCAAAAGCCCAAGATTTGTACGAGGGAATTCCCCGGGATCTTACCTCTCCATGATAAGACAGGCAAACAAACCATTCTTTGGACTGCCGGTGCTGATACAGTTCCAGGGTCACATCTGCAGCATAAGGTGGCCACTTGCCATCAAAGGTGCCCAGTGCCACCAGGAGAGGAATAAGGGTAATGTCATGAGAAGCATAGAGAATGAGCTTTCTGATAAAAAGCGAAGGAAAAAAAAAGCCCAAACCTAAAATGTTAGCTGTGTTCCTTCATGGATAGCCAGTTGCACACATGCTCTTTCTAGCAGATGAGCACTCATCGTCTTTACCCCACACATTCAACATCTTTCTGAACCAGCTTTTCATACTGACAGCAAGTCAGAATTTATAACGATTAGAGGAAGAGATCTGCCCTGTACCTGGCCTTTTCAGCTGGAGATGAGGGATCTACTGCTTCTGTAATGTTCTTCTGTAAGGTATAGAAAAGGAGACCAACGCTCATCTGAAGAACTTCTCTATAAAAGAAGCAGACATAAATCCACTAGTTTTTAAACTTTCAAATTAAATAATTTCAAACGAACACCTGGGAACCTGCTTTTCTCTTACAAATCGGTAACATGTATTGAGTGTAGCTAAGAACTATTAAATGCAATTCCTATGGTTACTTTTTATTTCAGCAGTTGCATAGTCACTGCAGAGATTCTAATGTGATTGCAGACTGGGAGGGGAGGAAGAGGTGTTAACAAGCAGTCTCATGAGGTGTGGCCCACACAAAGGGGAATCCAGAAACTCCTTGATGTTCTCTATGCTATTTTGTTTCCCTACTTGTGATTTTTGGATGCATGGTTTTCAGCTAGGGAAGATGACTGCAGATGACTGCAAAACAGCAGCTGAAATGGTTGGGGTCTTTGGCGGGAGGGGGAGGGGCAGAATTCAGGAAGGTGGCGGCTATATTTAAAAATTAGTTTTTATCCTTGTATTGAACAAAGGGGAGATCTTTAGGCAACTTCTGGTGTGAAGAAACATCCCTCTACCTAATGAATACGTCAGTGGAAATGGAGGATGAGTGTGAGTGTGGCTCTCCCGGGTGTTGTGGGAGTGGGGGAAATCAGTTTTTCAGTACCCGAGATCTGTAATGCAAGTTAAAGATAAAGGCTAAGGGCAACTGCCCTAAGAGAAGAGGCAGCCCTGTACCACCACCTGAGAAGAGCTGGTGAATATGGCAGCTGCAAATGAATCTGAAAGGAAAACAGCTGCTAGGCTAGCAACTCAGCCACCTTTACAAACAACTGCGGAGGAGGTGATTAACTGCATGTAGCAGCAGATTCTTTTGCAAGTAGTTACATGTGTGCAGGGCCTGGCATCACCTTTTTCACCAACACTTCTCGGCCCAGCTGTGCAGGTGCCATCCCTGGGATAAACTTCCTAGGTTGGAATTCAGACTGTAGTTGTGCATCTGTAAGGGCAGCCTGGCCTGTGCAGCCTCAGTGCTCAGGCTGGAAGCACCTCCTACTCTCTTCTGCTTTTGCCTTTGACACAGGTTCACTTAAACAACCGTGGCAACTGAGGCATTCACTGCCTACCTCGGTGGCTTGCTACTGTTCCTCGGAGACTACTCTCTCCACAACTGTCAGCAAAACAGGACGTAAGCCCACATCTTGGCCTCCTCAGTGTGGACTCCTTTTTCCTAGCTCATGTTCCTGACTCAAGGCACTGAACTTCACACTGAGATGGCTGAGGCATGAATCTCATGAGGGGGCAGTAGCCTCTGGTGGGGGAATGAGGCAGATCAGAAAGGACTTCTATCTGCCACAGTAAGCTGGTGTAGTTCATCCACCCTGGGTAAGCCTAAGACAACCCCTAAGGCTGGAGGCAGGGATACAAGCAATTACCTTGAACCGTCTTCCAGAAGGAAAAGCAGCGAGTCAACAGATCGACGCTCAACTGTCTGCTGAAAGTTCTTCAGCACAGGGCAGCTTGGCAAATTGTGAACCTGGAAGGAGAAGATGTAGCGTAACAATAGGGTTTGACCCTTTCTGAACCCAGCCTGAAGACACATGGATGACAGAAAACAGCTGTTCATGTCACAGCATTTGTACTACAGTATTGTACTACAGTATTCATGTGAGGAGTTCTAGGATGGCTTTAAACATACAGACTTGCTCCATGTACCAAAAGGATGGATGTTTGTTCTTGAGGATACATTTCTCTGTGAAGGGACTGTAACGCCTTGAGCTATTCAACCAACAGCCACGCCAATTACCATTAGCGCCAGCAAAAAAGAGGTACTAAGGGGGATACAAATATGCCTAGCTCCCTTCCAGTAGCCAAAGCAACCTGGCTCACGGGTAGGATGCTGGAACCAGGATTAAGATGACTGTTAGGTGCTGACTGCTAAAAGGGAAAGCGCTTTGTAATGGGGTAGGCAAGGCCCAACTGTTCTCTTAGGTCTACTTCATTACACTTGAAAGAGATGCTGGATTTCAAGGTAAGAACACAAATACTGGAGATGAGTCTTCATCTATCCTAGAGCAAGGCTGACTCCACATCTTGCTTTTTAAAAAGGCCATGCTATTTCTATAAACTTTCTGGATTGCACAGAAAGGTACTGGGGTACCCAGTGGTATCAGCGGGTCTTGGCACTCCATGGTTTCGTACACATGCATGGTAAAGGGATGTTTCTTTCTGTGACAGTGCAACAGAACTGCTCAGCTCACCTGCTCAGCAAGAATGTTATCAAGGAGGAGAAAAAAGTCCACAGACTTATCACCGTCAATACCCATCTTCTCCTTAATTGTTTTCAAGTCATCAGAGATACCTGGCTGTTGCAGAGCATCCTTCAACCTATGCCTGTCAGGGAATTAAGAAAACAAAACAAAAACTTTTCACACATCAGACTTTCTATTTTTTGGGGTTTTTTTGTGACCCCAGCCCACTGGAGTTCTCTCACATCAGTGAGGGGTAGAAGAGAAGCACCACAGGATACTGAGGGATTCCTGATTTTGCGAGTCTAAGTTGCAGAGTGGACAGACACTGTGTCTAGATGTCAAGGATCGGAGCTGGCTATCTGCTCTTGCAGAGGTGGGGGGAAAAAAATTAAGATGAAATGTGAACACCTCAGAAGTGGTTCCCATAAGCAAGGGCTGTGTATCAGTTAACAGATCGGGTCATACTGGAGCAGTACAAGTCTATGTCTTCAGGGAGTAGCCTTTAACTGCCTCATGAAAGAAGAAAGGGTAGAAGCTTTGAACTGATTACTGTACAGTGTGGGAAAAGGGAAACACCTACTCACTTGTAGCTTAAATTCACCTCTTGCTTTGTTAGAAGCCATTTGCCTCTTTACACTGTTTCAAATTTTAAAAAGTTTAGCTGAGAATATCCATGCTACGTACTTCAAGCAAAATATGTTGCATAGGTTTTGTTTTCTCTGACTCTGATCTGCTGGAGAGGAGGTGGGGAAAGTTTGGGTTTGTGTTTTATTTTTTTACTAACAGCTCTAGTTTCTGTTTGAAATCAAATGTGCTAGGAGTTCCGGCATAGGTAGCCTGTAAGCTGAGGCAGTGCTTCTTACTGCAGCTTAAAAAAATCCACCTTGACGTGGTCACAAAATGTGCTCAGTTGGTGGGCTGGGGGGAGGGAGCGGAAGAGCTTGCAGTTTACTCCCTTTTTGGACAGCTGATGTTACTAGAGGAGGCTGAATGTACAGAGGAGGCTAGTGGTACTGCTTCTATGGGCTGTGACCTCACCACTGTTAAGAACGATCCTTTGCCTGCAGAGTCAAGCATTGTATAATGAGCTTTTGCAAGTGGATTCTGACAGCTCTTGAATTTTGGACAAAAACATGCTAATGTATAATCCAACCAAACTGTAATACATTTGCCTCTCTTGTGTTCCCACCCCATGCCCAACCTGGCACAGGCATTTAGAGTAATTGACTCTGCAAACATGAGTGTTCTTTGTATGTAGGATGTTCCTTATTTTACTTCATTAGTCATTGTTAAATGTGTCAAGGCTGAGTATATTTCAGTTTCTTCAAGGTATAAATGTGACAGGAGTGTTGTAATAACCCCCAAACCAGAAGCCGAATATAAAAAGGAAGCCCAATATGTTCACACTGGAAAGGCTTGTTAAGGGATGTAGATGACGTTAATTCTGCCCTGCAGCAATGCCACAGAATAGCTGTACATTAGCTAGTAATGAGTGTTTGCTAGACACAGACTAAATTAAATTGGTCTTTCAAGAAAAAGTGTCTATATTTTCTTTTCTTCTGGTGCCACTGCTTGGTACATGACTCCGCTCACCGAGTATTTTATACAACTAGCTAACCATTCCCAAAGAATAGTAAGTGGCAGGGGAAGAAATTGGGAAATGGGAAGAAAATGTGCAGTTTTAAATTACTACTGCTGAAATGAAACAGCAGTGAAATCATATGGGGAGGTATGGCTGGCAATTACCTGCTCAAGCATTTCAGGTGCTGGCAGTTGTGGTAATTGGGGTAGAGGATTTCAGAGCTTGCTTCATCAGTGACAATGACAACAGATCCTGTGGAATGAGGAGGAAGCTTCTGTAATCACTAGTGCATCTGCGTGTCTTTAGACTGCTTTAATCACTCCCACAGTCTTTGTGCTCAAGTCCATTGTTGTCAACTAGCAATTCCCCCTGAGCTATCACCTGCAACACAAGCCACTGTGCTTGTTTCTGTGCACACAGCATTTAATTCCACAGGGATATCTGCTGTGCACCTTGTAAAGCTTTCTAGTTGTATGTTCTTTTTTTTTTTTTTAGTGTTTGTATGTGCCAAAAATCAGCTTCTGTGTCATGAGGTGTAAGGAGCTCTGGCAAGTCACTTCTACTGTTTGTTCCTGGAACTGAATACGGAGGGAGCAGAGGCGAGATCTTCAAAACCCAGAGCGTATTTCTTGGCCGAGATACTTGTGTTTCTGTGAGAAACTCTTTTTAGATGTGTATCTCGTGAACATTGGACCTGGAACTTTTTGCCCTCTTGATTCTGAAGCGGGTTAATGCTAACCTCCTCAGTAGGTTTAAAATTGCAGCATTCATGGCAACAGATCCAAGCTGAGCACCAGCAGAAAGCTACACAAAGAGAGGGAGCAAGTGACAAGTTGATAAAGAACATAAAGAACCAGGAGAGTACGGGGAAGAGGGCCAGGTGCAAAGAACCAGGGAAGAAGTAACAACCAGGAGCCAGAGAGAGTTGGGATGTGTGAAGTGTGTGCATCTAGGGAAGACTGAGAAAGGAAAGGAACCGGTCAGAAGCCTCCCCAACCTTCTTTCTGCTGTTGGTACAGTCCAGCTAGCAGGCACCGTGTGGACTCCAGATTCCGGAAAATATTAGTGGAACGGATGCTGAAAGAGAGAAAGCAGTTCGTGAGGTAGCACTTTCTCCTTCACGTGGACGCGGCTGCAGCTGGGGAGGACTTGCTAGAACTGAGGGTTCTGCTTTCACCGTGGCTTTGGAAACCTGTGGTGGGATTCATCTTGCCTCGCTACAGCGAGGCGCTATATCTTAAATAGACACCTATATCTGAACTGCCCTTTAACTTCCCTTCAGAGGCAGTGGAGATAGATAACAATTTGGCACCTCTCTGGTGTAATTTTTCTCTCATCCTAAACCAGGCACTCCCAGCATTACTGATGTGAGCAGCAGGGGTGTGCTTCATCTCACTGAACTTTAGCTATTTAATCTACAGTGAGTTAAATTGTGCTCCAGAAACACCTGTTTCTCTTCACTCACCATAAAGGCGCATAATACCACTGTCAATGGCTAAACCTAGGTGAGATGAATCTGTCCCTGGCATCACTCCCAGGACTGCTGGGGAATTGGATGCTTTGTGTCACAAGTGAGTTCTAGTACCGGGCTCTGCAGGCTGAGCAAATATGAAGGCCCAGGGGCCAGCCAGTCGGCTATAGGGTGGAAAAAGGGTATGCTGGTCAGAAAGTTTCCCTAGCACGGGGCTACTCGTTGGGATGGAGGAAGCAAGGGAAGGTCCAGGAGGGAACCGAGAGACTCACAAAACCTCAGCAGGCTTAAATGTTGGTGAGAGAAAGTTGGCTTCGTCCACGTAGCTTCTCCTCAGCCTTTCCCCCAGGGCAAACATCTGCTGCATCCCTACTGTTGTCAGCTGTCCTGCAATTGCACCACCCTAAGTGCAAAGAAAAGGAAGGGTCTCCAGTGGAATATGGAAATAAACAAGTCTACAGAGGGAACACGAAACCACCGTGAAAGACAGCCTCACCTTGAATGTGGTCTTTTTGTATCGCTCCTCGTAGCGTGAGGGAGGTCGAGGTCCTCCATTTAGGTCAGTCACCATGTAATCAAACTTAGTCTGAGCGGGTACATCTAAAAGAGCGGGATGCCATTCCACCTGTTTCAAAACAAACAAACAGTGCTTCAGTGAAAAACAAGGACTTCCAAGAGCATTAAACCGATGCCGGACTGTTATTCGGTGCTGCCTTGCCACTAACACAACACAGAGCCAAAGAGAACTGATCTCTTCCTACAGCACGCACAGAAGTGACAGCAGTGCTGCATCTTGGATTTGCTGATCTGCTGTGCACCGTGCACAGACGGTGTACGGGAAACACGGTCCTTGCTTTCTTCCCCTTACAGGAGAAGAACCTGTAGGAAATCGTTATTGCTGCTATTTGTTATACGCTGAAAAGCTTCTTTAGCAAACTGCCAGAACTAATATCTGCCAGCTCAAGAGGCCGCCTCGTTGGAGGCTGTGGGGAAGGTGGATCAATCGCGATGACACGGAGGCGGGTAAGCGCACGTTTGCCGAGTACCTGTTGTAACGTGTAGCGCTGCGGGGGGAGCAGCTCAGCGCCGGGCGTCAGAGAGCGGAGTCCCTGGGAGCAGCGATAACTTGGGCTACAGCAGCGGCAGCCCCGGGTCGCCCATCCCTGCGTCCTTCCTCCCAGGGCCCCCTGCAGCCGCAGCGGAGATTGCTCCCCCTGCCATCACCCCCCCCGCTAACCGGCGGCGGGACCCAGCTACCGCCGCTCCACTTTTAACTTCCCACAGCCCACGTTTCC